TTCTCAGAAAAGTCATACTCAGAAGGGCAAAGGGGATGCTGGGAAATAGTTGGTTGTATTTTCCCTGTTCTTTTTAGGGGAATGGGAGTCTGTGTAGGGAGGGAATCTGTTCTTGGCTGCTACAGAGGGGTTCAGGACTAGAAGCTGAATATAGAGCATCCAATGGAAAATGAGGAGGTAAGAATCCAGGGAGAACAGAAGCTATGTGTCTCCTTTATACTGAGGTAGAGTCTCATTCCAAAGAATCAGAAAACAGCAACTAAGTTAGACAGAAAATTATCTTGCTCTGTAACAGAGGCAACTCAAAATGAATTTTCGGGGAAGAGCCTAATGATAAAGAATGAAGGCTCTGATTTTCAATGTAAGACCCCATATACATCAACACACAAAGCAATCAAAAGAAAAAGGTAGGGAGACAGTACTAAGCCAAGTGCAGGGAAAGTCCTTACCAAGTGATACCACATTCCCGTAATTTTCCAACATCACATCTTTATAGAGGTGCCTTTGAGCGTGGGTCAGACACTGCCACTCCCCATTACTGAAGTTCACAGCTACATCCTCAAATGTCACTGACTCCTGAAACAACACGTTCCTGCTGTCCTGGAGAAAAGCCCATAGTTCCCTCAGGAAACAGAGGCCAAAGAAAGGAATTTGTGGGGAGAAGGTTTACAGAAGTGAAAGGCTGTTACTGTTTGGTGCATAATTTGGGGATGAGGTGAAAGGGAGCACAGGCTTTCCATAGCAAAAGATAACAAAAGAGGAAGCAATCTGCAAATGGTTTGTCATCCAATAAAATGTCTCTTATGAGAGGGAGCACCTGGATTTGCGAGTTGCATCACCAGGAAGTACAGTGAAAATAAGGCCACATTTGGAGGCAGTGATATACTCTCAGGAAGGAAGGAGGGGGCCTCAGCTCACTTGGGCCTGGCTCATCAGTGTGATATTTGCTCCCAGCAGGTTCCCTTGGCTTCCATCTTTGGCAAAGGCAGGATACTGAGGAGATGACAGAGCTGAGAGAAGAGAAATAAGCCAAGAGTCGGTTCAGCACAGTATTAATGAAACCTTCTGCTTTCACTCTCTCCTCCCCAAATGCAGAAGCTTCTGAAGCTCTAACCTAGGGATCAAGTCTACTGTGTTACAGTATCCTCCTTCTCCATTGTTTCTTTAGACTCAGTTTCCAGTTTTGGGTATCAGGCCCTGGACAGTAGCCAAGCCAACTGTAAGTGCATTCTTCCTCTCTCTCACCTATTACATCTTTTTCTCTGGTCTCTCCTCAACCTAGAATACTTTATCCTCTCCCTAAAAGGCCCAAATCACTGACTTCCAGTTTCTACAATAACCTGGCTTCCTGTATTTGAATTTTGAAGTCAAGCAGTGTACAGATATTATCTGGGATGAGATTAATTCATTTACATTATATATTAGGTAATTGTAAACGTTATGGTCATGAAAATCACCTGTGGGAAAATAATTCAAGATACTTTGAGGAAAAGAGGACTCGGATACTCAGGTTAGATATGAACCATAAAAGTGAATATATTTTTAAATTAAAAAATGGAATAAAATGAACAACCATCCATCCAGAAACTATATCCATTATTTTCTACCTCTCCTAAATTTGCAATAAATACGTTCTATATTATTAATTTTCATTTATCACTTATACACCAGAAATTTCAGGGTTTCTCCTCTAGAAGTTCCAATAATACGCTTAGAAATACATTTTACTTTTTTTTCCCCCTTTGTCAGTAATAGATACTAAAAGCTTACTTCTCGGGTGCACAGGTGCATCGTCTTTTGTCCAAAAGTCTGTGCCTTTGAGGATCTGATTTCATGACCCTAGAATTGCTAAATACCATCTCCTGGTATTTAGCATCAGCCATTTCTATACAAATCTTATCCACTTTTCTCTTCATATATGCCACCAAAGAGCATTTCTAAAGCCCAGCCTCATATTTCCCCATCTTTCTTTATTTTTCCTGAAGCTTCCCAACAAGACTTTTGCTTCTTCTTTTGCCATGGCTTTATCTTCTATTTCTCACATACCTATATTATAATTTAAAAATCCCAGGGTTAACAGATGTACAGAAATAAAATTAAATACACTAAATTTTGCATGTTGGTAAAATTGTGATTGTGTAGGAGTTACTGAATTATATTACAAGTTTTATATGTGAAAATATTGATGTACACATATGTAAGCTATTTATCATATATATCAAGTTGTATGTATAATAAGTGATTGATTACAGTCAATTTCCTTGATAAGTTGCTTTGTAAAATCTTTTCTTATGAATTTTTATTTTTTTCCAAATTTGGTTTAAGATGAGGGCAGAAACTGAATAATTTAAGTTTCAATACTGATCCAAGCCTCATACAGAAATATTAGATTTTCTTTTTTTGGGGGGGGTAGTAATTAAGTTTATTTACTTTTTTAATGGAGGTACTAGGGGATTGAACCCAGGACCTCATGAATGCTAGGCATGCACTTCATCACTGAGCTATATCTTCCCCTCCAGATTTTCTAAATAAATATTCATAATAAGCAGATATCCAGACCCCAGGAAGCATCTCCCACCTATTCTATGTCCGTGCTCCATTTTTAGCTGCCATAATTCCTACCACAATACCCGGTGTGTCTTACCTCTTTCCTGCAGGAGTTCGGTATCAGGGATGCTTGGGCTCTCATCCGGTACTATGACCTATTGCAAGAATAGAATAAATTTGGGGAGATTAAGGAGGGGAGGAAAATACATGGGAAGCTGCAACCAACTACAAAATTTTATTCATTGATATCAACTCCCAGAACTACCAAGAGGGGAGAGAAAAGCAAGGACTCAGTTCCTGATGCACCTTATGAAAAACAGAAATAGCATACAATTATTTTAAAACTTAAAAGCTTTAATGATCACCAGGCCATGGAGGAAAAATAGTATTTTGAAGGAGAAGACTTCCACAAGGTCAGTCCAGGCCCACGACACACCCACTGCTTTCCTCTTTTCCTGAACTCACTTTTCCTTCTTCCTCCTTCCTCCTTGTGATCTATTGCAGATCCTCCTCTTCTTACCTGCTGCATCTGTGTACCCAGCTTTTCCAGTCTTCTAACACAGTCCTGGTTTCTTTTCTGCTGGTTGGATCCAGCTCCCAAAGTCAGTTCTGGCTTTGCCCAGACAACCAGTTTTGAAGCGGCTCCAGTTTCTGCTAGCCTCTTTTCAGGGAGACAAGCCTTGGTGGTGACAGCCCAAGGGCCCCTGCTGATCCACAGGCAGCAGCTTTTCCGTTTGATGTGTGAAACACTGCCCTGGATTTGGGGTTCAACAGCAGTATGAAGCTAATGGTGATTTCATATCCTGTTTTTCTGCATATTCAACGAAAGGAAGAGAAGAGAGAGGAATGTGACCAAAGCAAAAAGAAGGAATCACTGAGAATCTGAGGTGTCTGTCGGAGATGATGGAGCACAGGAAGACGAATAGAAAATGATACTATATCCAGAAGATAACCTTCACTTTCACCATCCTGGTCCACATCACCATTGCCTGCCTTGCCCTCCACTATTGCACTAGCCATCTAACTGGTCTCCCTGTTTCAATCCCTGCTTTCTGTCGGTCTCTTCTCAATACAACAGAGTGTGCCATTTAAAACTTAAGTTGGATTATTTCATCTCTCCCCTTAAAATCCTTCAATGGGTCCAGCTTACTTAAAAGAAACAGTAGCATACAAGGCTTTAAAGGATGTGCCCATTATATCTCTGTTGTTCATTCAAGATAAAAGCTGAAGTCCTTAACAGTGGCATGCAAGGTTATGGGACGTGCCATTACCTCTTGTACTATTCTTTTCCTCCCTCAACCCTCTTCAGTTACAGACTTTTCTCTTCCATTTTTAGGCGCATTTTCCACCTTGGGGCCTTTGCACTGGCTGTTCCCTCCACCTCAAGCTATCTTCACAGTGAATAATCTTGCTTCTTTCAAGTATTTGCTTCCCAAGGAAACCTATTCTAAGTGCCCTATTTAAAATTACAGCCTACCCGCTCCTTCCAATCCTGATATGCCTTACCTTGCTTTATACTTCATCTATTTTTTTTCATATATAGCTTTATCACTTTTCAACATGGTGCATAAGTTTCTGTTTATTGTAGGTCTCCTTTTCACTAAAATGTAGGCTCCTAGGCTTTTAAGGGCAGAGATTTTTGTCTATTTCATCCACAACTGTATTCCCAAACGTCTAAAACTGCCTGCACCAGTAGGCGCTCAACTAGGATTTGGCTGAATGAATGAATGCACAAATGGATGCTGGGGAGGCAAATAAACAGGAAAAAAGGGTAAAAGGCGGCTAAAAGCAGGAAGAGCGGGAGGGAGTTAGGAATATCGGAGAGAAAGCCCGGTCTGGGGCAGGAACCCGCGGTGGATGCCCCTTCCAGCGGACCCGGCTCCAAAGCCCCGCCCTCTCCCCGCCAGCAATCCGGGGCCCCAGGGAGCAGGTGCATTTAAGTGAAGCAGGTGCCAGGTTCCTCCCGGGAACCTCCCTCGGCGGGTTCGGAGACCTCAGTGGCAACTTGGGAGCCCCTCGCCGAAGTCCCGTCCCACGCCGGCTGGAGGCACAGACCTTTCCGCCGCTATTCTCCCCTAGAAATGAGAAAATAAAGAAATCTAGACTAGCTCCACTTCCCGGTCCTTCAATAATCATTTCCGGTGACTTTCTAGGAAACCCTCAACTCGCTGGTCCAGGAGTTCCCTAGAAATTCTCGGCTTTCCACTCCCTTCCTCCCGCTCACCCCTTTCAGGAGTTTCCGCGGGCGCACGAGCGGGCGACAAGAGTCACGCTTACCGTACTGACCCGTTAATGCCGTGGAGGGATGTCTTGAATGGAACGGACAGAAATTCTGTGACATAACTATATGACAGTTACTTTTAAATATTAGCCAAGAAAGCAAAATAATTAGAGTGACCTTTTTTCAAAAAGTAAAAACTATGAAAAATTTAAGCCTACACAGAAGTTGAGAGATGAGTATAATAAACCCCTACATACTCGCCACTCAGACTTTACAACAAGTAAGTTTCTGGCACATTTGTTTCATCTCCCATTTTTCTTGCTGAAATAACTTTGCAGCAAACCTCAAACATGTTATTTCAATTTTATGCTCTTCAGACTGCATCTCTTGAAATAAAACCACAATGCCATGATCTCATCTGACAAAATAATTACTGGGTATCATGTAATACTGAGTCCATGTTAAGCTTTCCCAAATATATTAAATCTGCTGCTTTTTTGAATCAAGATCTAAATTCTACATGCTTTATTTGGTTATTTCTCTTAGTTCTCTTTTAATTTAGATCGAGAATAGTTCCTCCCATCTTTCACTTTCCCCCCGTTGAACAAATTGGGTCATTTGTCCTGAATGTTCCACATGCTGGGTTTCTCTATTTGTGTCCTCATTTAATTTGTTTCTCTAGCCTTGCATTTATTAACTAGATGTTAGTTCTAAAGATTTGATTAGAATTTGGTTAACCTTCATGGGTAAGCATTCTTATGCGGGGTCATGTACTTCTTTTTGCTTTGTATCAGGAGGCATATACTGTCTGATTATTTCACTCTTTGTGATGCTAAGATTGATCAATGAATTCGTCCCTTGATAGCTAGATCCCTCCATGTAAAGTTCTTCATCAACCTTTCATCTGGTGGTTTCATCCACTGATGATCTTTGCCTGAATCAAACATTTCATTGCAAACCTGTGATTTTCTAATTCAATATTTTTTACTCCACATTTATGAGTTGGAATTCCTTTGTAATGAAGGGTTTTATCTCATTAACCTCTCAATTCAGGGCTATTTGGTTATCCTGAAATGTCAGTTCATATAGAAAAGGCAGAATAAACATTTACTTTTCAATTTAATTGCCAATATTCAGGGTAAATACTTGTGCCCTCCATGCCGTGACCACTGATGTGTTAGCCATTCTTCAAAATGGCCATCAATGAGCACTGCCTTCCAGTATTCATACCCTTGTCTGAGTAGGGGTATGAACTCCCTCCCACATTGTACCAGGGGTGGTTTGTGTGACCAACCGAGTGTGGTAGAAATGATGTTAAGTAAATTCTAATATTAGGTTATAAAAGAAACTATGGCTTCCATCTTGTCTCTCACTCTTGCTCTCGCTCTCAGATCACTCATTCTGGTGGATGTCAGCACTGTTTTGTAAGGAAAAACCCAGGTGGCAAGGAACTACAGCCTCCTGCCAATAGCCATCTGAATGAGTTTACAAGTGGATCCATCAGCTCCCCGTCAAGCCTTCAGATGATCGAAGCCTGGGTTAACATCTTGGTTGCAACTTAAGGATAGATCCAGAACCAACCTCTAAGCTGCTCTGACCTGTAGAAACTATGTGAGATAATAAATATTGGATGATTGATTCAAATTTTGGGGTAATGTGTTATGCACCAATTGGTAACTCATTTTTCCCCCTCTTTTGAGCATCATTAATTCATGGACTTTTAAATAATATTCAAGGAATGTTAATCAATTGCAGTCATTTTTTTTTCCTTTTTGATGTTCAAATGGTTCTGTCTTTGACCAGTGGGAGTCCCTTTATTTTGTCTCCTGTATCCTTTTCATCTAACTCTAAGTCTCTGATAGCTTTTTTGCTTTCTGGTAGGGTAAGATATTTCAGACTTATTTTGTGTATTTCCTGCTTCAGACCTGGAATCAGACATTTCTCCAAGGAGTCTTGGTTCCTTTCAGTGAGAAGAGTGATTGCATATCTTTGTGAAGGGTCCTAACTTCTTTTAAAACTTATCAAATTGAGATAAAACTAACTTAATTATGGGATTGAATTCAGTCTACACTTGCTACCTGTGTGCATGAGACCCTAAGCAAGGTATATATCATGTTCCAGTTTCCCCAACTGCAAAATGGGTTCAAGGTAAACACCTAATTTTCAGAGCTGTCATGAGGGTTAAATGAGATAATATATGGAAATCATTTAACTCATCACCGGGCATCAAATATCATGATTAGCATAACAGAATTCCAGGTCTGAAAGATACAGTGATCACTAAGTACAACCCCTTCATTTCACACTTGAGGAAACTGAGACCCAAGAGATTTAAAATTTGCCTAAAACTACAAAGGAGGATAAACTTAGGAGGGAAACTAATGACTCCAAAGTCTTGGATCTCATATCCGGGCTATTTTGATGAAAAGCAGTCTTTCAGGCCAATCAAGTCTTCCATTATTCAAAAACAAAAGAAATTAGAAAGTACTTAGCACGCTAGTTATAACATGGTATTATGGAAAGTACAACAAGCTTATGTTCCAAAGACCTGATTCCTGGGTCTGTCACTCACTAGCTTGATCTTTTGGGCAAGTCATTTAAGTCCTTTGCACCTCAATTGCTGCATTGTAAAATAGTAACAATAAATCCTCCACTCACAGCTCATTGTGAGGATAAAAATACAGTATATTGTATATGAAAGTGTCTGGCTCATAATCATTGATAAATAATGATTATTATACAAAAAAATTCCTTTGATTCTTTAATTTAATAAAAATGTATCCTTCTCCTCTAAAGGGAATTGGGTTTTGTTTAGACTGATCCCTAAGTCTCTAAATCGGAAATTGAGTTCAGTGAATACTGCACAAAGGCACTGAGCAGGCTGCAGGAAGGATGCTATGCTTGGTCAGCATGGTCACCCACCCTCCAGGCTGAGTAGGTACAATCTTTCTTCCTGATATCAATCTACTTAGCAGTGCTAACATCCAGTTCACATAGACTCACAGGGCACATTTATGAGAGGCTTTGCTACAACCTTTGCTGATATGAAGATACTTTACTTCCACAGCAGACCCTTAGTGCTCCACTTTAATAGTCGGGTCCAACTGAGATAGAATTTATTTACATTATTCTTGGTTAACCCCAATCTCCTAAAATCTCCTAAATAATCTCCTAAAATAATTAATGATGGAATTTTGCCAGAGATTCATATCAAGCTTTCCAGTCTGTTGATTCCACTGTTCATCTTTTTCACTTTTTGAAAATTTGGATATTTGCCAGTCTTGGGCATGAGTCACACTCCTTAATAATGGCCTTCAGGAGCCCTGAAGCCAATCTGCTTGACATTCAGGATCCTTCGAGTGATTTTACCT